CTGGTCCTTAGTGCACCTAGGGAGGCTGAAGCTGTATTCTGATGGCAGGGAAAGCTGCATCTGCTGCAGCAATGGTAGGGGAAGCACACTCATCAGCAGGGTCAAAGGCAGGCGGGCAAGCTCATCACTTTTCCCTCTGACCTCTTTTCATCTGAGCTGCTGCTGGAAGTGCTGCCCACTCTAGGGGAGGTGGCGGCTCTTCTCCGCTCCATTGGTTTTACCTGTAAATCCCTCACAGATTCGCTCAGTCTTTTAGTTGATACAGGTCTAATCAAGTTGACAATATTTACCATCCCCCAAAACAAAATACATGATTAAAAACCATTAGGAGTGTGGCTTTTTTGTTTCTTTGTCTCGAGGGGTTGGGAATGAAGGAGAGCTGCAATCTCAGATCACAGAAGACAGATTTAGGGATGGCTGTCTTGATCATGATGTCACAACTTTCTAAGCACATTATACTTACTTCCCCCTGCTTTCCTCCAAGTTTCAGTTCAATTCTGCAGTTTTTTGTGGAAAATCCAATACTAATTGATATTTTCACATACCCTGTATATTAAGCAATAAAATTGCTTGTCAAGAAGGTTTTTTACCACTGGCTGGGAGATAGATGGCATTGTTAGCTAGGAAATGCACTGTCCATGGCAGAAGATCAATTATCCTGTATATAATTTTCTTAGCCACCTTGAAACTAGCCTGTAGTGGTTTTTACAGACCACCTAATATACAACACATTTGAGCTAGGGCTCAAATTTAGTAGTTGTGCTAGATAGGTTTATGTCAACCTGACACAAGCTAGAATTATCTAGAAGGAAAATCCAATTGAAAAAATGCCTCCATAAGATCTAGATGTAAGACATTTTCTTAATTATTAATTGATGGGGGGAGAGTCCAGCCAACTGTGCGTGGTAACATCCCCAGACTGGTGGTCCTAGGTTATAAAGAAAGCCATGAGGAACAAACTGAGCAAGGTACGAGGGGCAAGCCAGTAAGTAGCACCCCTCCATGGCCTCTGTATTAGCTCCTGCCTTCAGTTTCCTGCCCTGTTTGAGTTCCTGTCCTGACTTTCCTCAGTGGTGGACTGTTATGTGGAATTGTAAGCTGAAATAAACCCTTTTACCTCAAGATGCTTTTTTGTCATGAGTTTCATCATAATAGTAACCCCAACTTGGATAGTAGTGAAGGGCACATAGAGGATGGCTTTATCACTCTGTGTAGATTAAGTGACAATCACATAATGAGTCTTTCGCAATTTAAGAAACTATGCTTTAAAACATTTTCATATATGATATATCCAGGCCTTCCGAGAAAGAAGATTTGAACACAGTTTTTGAATGAGCTTTTTGGCACATGCCTGAAAACTTTACTGAAAGTCTCAGATTCTTAAACCATATTTACCATTCCAACAACCAATACATATGCTTTTTTAAATAACACAGGATTGTGGCATTTTTGTTTCCTTGTCTCAAGGGGTTGGAAATGAAGGAGAGCTAGAATCTGAGATCACCATATTTAGTGCCAATGAAAAAAAGTGTAATAACAACCTGATCAAGCAAAGCTTGACACAAAGAAAACACCTGCCTGGTGTTAATAAGATGCATGAATTTCAGACAACAGAAAACCAAAGAAAATTACCACTATGTCTGTCTTGATAAAATGCCAACAGAGTTGTCGTTTATTATATGTACTCAAAAGTTTATTTGAATTTTTATGGTATGAGAGTTAAAAAAAATCAAATGAATTTGGACTTAGGCCAGTTATTTCATTCCTAAATATTGTCAAGTCTTTGTTAAAACTAACTGGTATTTTCAGGTTCAGCAAAAGATCAAGAAAATCAAAGAGAAACGTTTTGTTTTTCTATATATTTATTAGGAGGAGAAGTGTGATCAGTGGACAAACTTCTAATACTTCAGTAAGCCTTATGTATATTTGACATTAGTTTAGATATAGTCAAACATCTTTTATCCGCACAGAGGTCCCAGAGGCTGAAAAAAAATGTTGCAGTTTTCTATCAGCTCTTATTTTGGTACAAAATAAAATCTTTAAAAAAAATCAAAAGCATAAGAAAGAAAAAAACTCAGCTTCATTTTCTGTGAAAGATGAACACTCATCTCTCAACAAATTGAGAGCATCAAGTTAAAATATATTCTTGTGTTTCTTGCAAAATTTGGGCAAGATTTGTCAAGTCCAATATTATGAGCACTGCATTTTCTAGGGAAAACAGTATAATAAGTGTTTTCATGTCCTTGCTTGTGTGAATTTTTAATGTATTAAAAAAAAAGACAGACTCAGCCTTGAAGCCACCTTTCCTGGCTTATTAACCTATTTCCACCAGAGAGGGTGCCTCTTGTTTTTGTAATACATGGTTTCTAGTTCTAGTAATAAAAATTACAACAACAACAATAATAATAATCACAATTGACTATTTTGTTAGACTAGAATTTCTATAATTTCTAACAGATATATATATATGTATATATGTACATATATATATAATTTTTAGAAAGAAAATAATGTCATTTTTAGTTAAACTAATGAACAGTGGTTATTATTCACATGTAGTCAACTTTTGGTTGGCTGTGATGAACTGGTGTAAAGAAAGTATGGATAACTGAAATCCATGGTGCAACAAATTGTAATTTGATCTTTTTTTTCTCATCTAACAATTGATTAGAACCATGCACTAGTAAACTGAAGGGACATGGGTTTTTATTCCTTCCACCCTTAAAAGATTAAAACAACTTGAAATCATTAGGAATAAGACTCCAAAGTGTGTGTGTGTGTGTGTGTGTGTGTGTGTGTGTGTGTGTGTGTGTGTGTGTTTATGCCTCATTGGACTGCTACTTAGCTTTAGTTGGTATGTGCATGCATTTGAGTATGTATGTATATGCATGAGTGTAGTATGTCTATGGTATGTGAGCAAGTGTGTATCTAGGAGCATGTGGAAGCCATAGGAAAATGCAGGTGCCCTCTTCTATAACTCTCACTTTACTACTTTGAGGCACAGTCTCTTCCCCTGAACCACAGTTTGTCACCTAAGCCTGCAAGCTCCAGTTACATGGGCACTGGGATCTTAACTTTGGTCCTTATGCTACAGCAAGTGCTGTTGTCCACTAAGCCATCTCTCCAGCTCCCTGTTTTCATGTTGAGGCCAGGCCTCACATATCACAGGCTTCCCTGGAACCTGCTCTGTAATTAATGATGACCTTGAGTTTCTTTCCTTTTCTTTTTCCCCCTTTTGTTGGTTTTTTAAGATGGGTTCTCTTTGTAGCTTTGGAGCCAATCATGCAACTCACTCTGTAGACCAGGCTGGCATCAAACTCATGTAGATCTGCATGCCTCTGCCCCCCAAGTGCTGGAATTAAAGGTGTGCACCACCACCACCAAAATGACCTTGGATTTCTGATATTCCTGCTACTACCACCCCAGTGCTGCCATTCAAACACATATCACATGACTGGTTTATACTATGCTGAAAATTGAAGCAAAAGCTTCATAGATGCTAAACATACATTAGCAACTGAAAGACATTCCCAGCCCTGACACTATAATTTCATTACATTGTTGCAGAAAAGGTATCCTATGCAATAATATAAAGTCTTAGTACTATCATGTTACCAATTACTAAATTGGCATCAAACGTTATGATCTAAAGAAAAAGCATATCATTTTCCATAGAAAAATTCAGATTCTGAAATCTTAAAGTTGTTTTGTTTTTTGGAGGCAGTGGGGATGGTTGTTTGTTTTTGTGAATCGGACAGCTTCAGGTATAGTTTCTCAGAAGCTATTGAGCCTGCTTTTGAGACAGGTTCATATTGTCTTGCAATTGGCTAGTAGGCTAGGCTGACTTAAACTGTGTGCCCCAGGCATGGGATCTACTAGTCTCCACCTCCCCTACACCTGTGTTCTTTGCATGGGTTCTGGGGATCAAACTCAGGCCTTCATACTTCTGTGCAAGCCCTTCTTAAATAAGTTATTTGCCAGTCCCCTTAATCTTTATTGAATGTATTGTTTTGCCCCAAGAAAGACTGGGACCTTTTGTTGCCTTGTGTCCTCATCATTCATTTACTGCTTCTGACCTTTGACTCTTTCTCTTCATTTTTGTCACACCCTCAACACACCTATAGCGAATGTTCTTACTGTTCCTGTACTTGTATATCCTACTCATCATTCACAGCCCAACATGAAGTATGTCCCTCTCAGGAAGTCCTTAAACCATACCTGTTCTTAAGGGAAGTAATTCATTTACATTCATCTCCTATTTTTCTAGGAGTTCAAGGTAATACCATATACTTCCTTGAATCTCACAGCAGCCTAGCATATATATTCATGTGGTAACTATTCAGAAAATACTTGCTTATTTAATCTATGAATGTAACTAGAGCAGAAACATATCTTCATACATTTACATCCTCATCAATACAGCTTATATAATTCTATATCCTTTAGAATCAATCAGTGATTATAATTGTGTTCAGCATGGATTTTCCCAATGTTTATAAATTAATTGAAAGAATTTTGCTTTCTGATTATCATAAAAACCCAGATATATGACCTTCAGAGGTCAAATAAACCACAAAGGCTACTGGAGTCCCTGGTCAGAGATGGAATTTGACCCAAAAATTAGGACAAAGAAGAGGAACAGGGAATTTTAGGTAACCATTGCTTTTCTCTGGATTTATTATCTAGACAAATTATTTATTATCACCACCCATTATGCTGGAAATAATTTCGACAGCAGATCAAGGATGTCTCTCAACACCACTCCCTTGGTGCAACATATGGAAATACAATCTACTACTCATTATAAACACATCAGGCATGTTGTTTGTTTATACAGACTAAAGAAAACACATTTTCAAGTAAAATTTGCAAAACATGAGAGACGCGTTTTAGGTTCCTTTCTAAACAATAACAAGGTAACTTGGATTTTCTGACACAGAAGTGTTTGACTTCCGGTTTGTTTTTTTGTTTGTTTGTTTTTGTTTTGTTTTGTTTTTAAGGTGAATTTGGGGAAGTCTGCAGTGGGCGTTTGAAGACACCAGGGAAAAGGGAGATCCCGGTTGCCATTAAAACACTAAAGGGCGGTCACGTGGATCGACAAAGAAGAGATTTTCTGAGGGAAGCGAGCATCATGGGTCAGTTTGACCATCCTAACATCATTCGCCTAGAAGGTGTTGTCACCAAAAGTAAGTTCCAGACTTTCCTCGCTACGTCTCACATACTGCTTTTAGTTTTTATTAACTCACAATAACAGTACCATAGTTGCAAAGACAACTTCATTCAGAGGGTGTCTTCTAACCCCGCTTCTCAGTGTCCTGCGATGAGGCTGTGACATGAGCTTGCCGAGGGTACCACAAAGCACTGGAATTGCATTACATGTAAAGTTTGCTGATTTACTTTGTCATAATGACTCAGAAGAATGGATTATATTTCTCTAATTGTCAATATTAATAGAAGGTAGATCCTCGCTATTTACTTCATTAAAGTAAAATACTACTGCTTAGAAATACATCTCATAGACAAATGTAAATGCTTTATCATACAGTAAAACATTTCCAGAAAAAAAATTTATATGGAAGTCAGCTCTATTAATAGCACTATTAATAAATTATTATATGATGTAAAGTAAGAGATAACCACAGCAGTAAAAATCCTGCTGTTACAGAAATAATGGAATGAAGGTCATTCTTTTGAAAAAATTACTATAAAATCCAAAATTATTCATATACTTTACAAAATAGGCTGCATATATTTGAACAATGATACAGGCACAAAATGTAACATTATTTTTTCATTTTTGTTCACTAATGCATTAAACAAAAATCAATACAGAGTAGCATTACATTTTTCATGAAAATTACTCAGATATTTGAAAGTATCATTTTTATTTACAGAATTAAAAGTTCTTTAACATTCTTAACAACCACTGAAGACAAGAGCTGGGTCTGGAGAGAGGGCTAAGATGTTAAGAGCAGTTCCTATTCTTGAAGGGGACCTGGGCCGGGATTCCAGAACCTACTGCCAAGTCCCAACCTTATGTAATTCCAGTTCCTGTGGATTTGACAATCTCTTCATACCACCACAGGCTCTTGTAGATATGCGGTGCATATAAACTCATACACACACATACACACACACTAAATAAATAAAATATGTGAATAAATAAACATTTTCAAACAATTTAAGGGAAGTTGCAATTTTATGTTATGATTAGAAATAGGCAAATATTATAACTTAAAAGCATGTGCTCAGTTCTACATCTGAAATCTCTACATTCTTCATACAAGGCATTGGTAAAATGCTGTCACTCGAGGGAGCAGATTACATGTGACCTCAAGAGTTTAGAAAAAAGAGATAAGTACTAAAGATAATGAACACTATAGTGGGTTTTTATTGCAGTGGTTTATTGTAGTCTTTCAATATTCACCCATGAGTAGTTCTCACCTACAGTTACACTGAACTCATCCATGTGTCCAACCTTTGCCAAAGGGACATGGTGTTTTATTTATTTCTTGATGTTTATAATCTAGAATTCTTCTTTCTGAAACCCAACTTCCATGTTGAGCAAAACAAACCATGCAATAATGCAAAGAGAAGGCCAGCAAGGTGACTCAATAGGTAGTGGGGATTTCATATAGACTGAGTTATCTATCCTACAAAGTGCCAGGAGAAAACTGCCTCTTACAGTTTCCTCTGACCTCAACACCCATGATGTGACACATCACATACACGTATGCACACGCATGTGCACACATGCACACACACACACACACACACACACACACAATGAATTAGATAAATAAATACCTTTTCTAAAAGCAGAGAATCAAGATACTTTAGTCAACAGTTCCATCAAAAGTGCTAGACAGCACTGAATGCTAGGTTTGTGAATGAACCATCTCAGAAAGTAAACCCTATCCAATCCCACCTGGCTCAGATACCTGCTGTTATGGCCATCTGTGAGGAAAAGAAACCAAATCAGCTCAATCTGGCCAACCCAATAAATGATGAGAGGGGTTTTATTTAATAATATTTTATTTCATTGATTCTTTTAAGAATATTATACAATATGTTTTGATTATATTTATCTCCCCACTCATTCATCTAACTACTCCAAGATCTACTCCAAGTTATTGTCCTTTCTTTTTTTTAAATATTTTATCAGGTCAAATTTGTCCTGCCCATATACTTCTGAGTGTGAGACCATCCACTGATGTACTGTAATGTACCAGGGGCCCCATCCATAAAGAATAATGACTCCTCTTCTTCTAAAAGTCAAATTGTCCATAGCTCCTCAGGTAGGGGTAGAGGCTTGTGAACTCCTTCCCCTTTCATACTTAGAAAATTAATTGGCTTAATCTTATTCAAGTCTTGTGCAGACACAGTTGCTGTGAGTACATAAATTTGGGACTGTTTCACTCTGGTTCTCCCTGACCTCTGGATCTTATAGTCTTTTTCCTCCTCCTTCTGCCATGGTCCACGAGCCTTAAGGGATGGAAGAGTGATGTAGAAGACCCATTCCACTGACATTTACTCTCTCATTTGAACTGCCATCCACTACCTAAAGAAACCTCTCTGACAAAGTCCACGAGCTATACTGATCTATGAATAGATACAAAATTTTTCATGTGCACTAATGGTACCAATGTTATGAAGATAACCAACTGCTTTCTGGTTGGACTTAGGTGCTGCTCCACAGGAGGAACACATGCTTGAAACCTGCAAATCTAATTAAAACCCACGGTTTGGGTTAGTTCTTCATCCCTAGAGACACTAGGGATCAACCTGCTACAATTATTCTGTTAAATGCATATGGTATCCAATTGCCTCATAAATTCATTTAATGTGTTGTTTTAAGTTATAATTTCAAATTCATTTTTCACAGCAGTAGATGATCAAAGGAATGAATCATTTCTGAAGTTATACTCTTGTCAGTTAAGATTTGTGGACATTGAATAAATCAACCTCTATCCTGAACTTTCATGTCTGTAAAACAAGACTAAATTAACTGCTATATCATTTATTGGAGCACCTCAGTTCCTATTTTTCAAGACTGCAAAATATTTCTACACAATATATATATACAATATATATATGTATATATATATTGAGAGAGAGAGAGCATTTAGCATCATCTGCTGACTTCCTGTCATTAGCTTCACCATTTCAAATTACTCCTCTGTTTTTATATTGTTATTTATGTTTGAAAATGGTTACAGATGGCAAATTTCTCTTGGAAAGTTTTATACAGAGACATCTACAAATAAGTGACAGGAATAAACTCAAAGATTGGCAAGTAAGAGATCTTTCTTTTCTTTCTTTAATAGAAAAAATCATATGTCTTTTCACTCAATATTACTATTTCATCCATTTATTATCATATATTGTGTATATTTAAATTAGGATCCACCAAAAGGAAAGATCTACAAAATGGGGAAATTAATTAATTCTATATCCTAAGTCAAATAAATAGGTTTACTAAGATCATTGGTGGTATAGTTTGCTATCAGAATGAATGTTTATTTCACATAAATACCCAAATAAACAGCACAGATATTACATCTTTAACAATGTTATCTAAAAACCAGACAGGTGACCTCTATTTAGACAAATTTGTGTAATTCACATACCAACTTTATGGTTTGATTCTTAAGTAAAAAATAAAGAAAAGATATTCTCATCTCTGTTACAAGAAATTGAGAAAAGATAGCTCCAGTGCGTTCTTGATGACAATCCGCACTGTAGTTTAAACTGTCAAGAGGAAGCCTCCTAGGGGAGTACTGAAGTGGTGCAGGGTACATAGTGGGTATGAGAGAAAAGCAATTCCCGCAATAATCAGTGAGCCTGTTTATACCTTATCAGCTTGAGTCAAGTGCTATGGGATTGTTAGAAGAAAAGCAATAAATAAATGAATACCTCGTTCCCATAAATACATGGTAATTGTTCCAAGATTGCCCTTAAGTAGCTAAGAGATAGCTAGCAATTAATGTTCCCTAAAGATGCTCCCATTGCATAAAAGATGATAAGGATGAAGATGATGATGCAGTCCAAAGGCCTGATTGTAAACTTTCCTGGGGTCTGGGGAACAAATACTCCATTAAAATTGATACAAGATTATAGATAAAAACCTTCAGAACATCCTTCCATAAGTTGTTACTTAATATGATTATGTGTTTTTTTCATATAGTCTTTTCTTTTAGAAACTTGTATAGTGCAGAACTTTGAATCATTTCTGCACATAAGTCTCCTTTAATCTTAAACTTGAAAGCTAAATAACTTAAAAACTGCATTATACAAAAAAAAAACTATGTCTTTAAAAAGATGTGACTATTTATGTGATACATAAAGCATCTTTTATTAGCCTGATAAGATGCAACTAATAGAAAGAGAGATGAATCAGTTCAACACATATTATTTCTCCATGGACAAATAGAAGCCATCAGTTGGAGGGCAGCTTGTAATCATTAGTAGTATAGGTCATCACAATATGTAACGGATTATTATCAGTGACAGTAGGTACATCACCAAGAGGCAAAAAGCCATCTTTCTGTAAGAAGATAAGAATTAAAGCTTAGTGATGAAGAAATATAGCACAGTAACTATGAGGCAAACAACATTGTCTCTCTTCCAGCTAAGTAAAAAGCACATTTACAAGCACTAACTATATTGCCTAAATAACAAACTCAATAAAGTGGAATAGAAGTCATTTCCAGTAGCAAACAAATTCCCAAAGATAAATCCGTGTCATCTTAAAACATTCTTTAAAGAGTCCATGGCTCAATACCGAAGCTATAACAGAATCTTTAGAGCTGCTCAAACACTTTTTATGTTCAGGAATATGATAAATTACTCCCAGGGAGTTTTTGTGAGTAGATATAAAGCCCAACTAAAAGAGTAAATTTTGTTCAGTCAAAAAATAATTACAGTTCATGACTAAAAACATGCACCCTAGTCCTAGAATTGGATTATCCTTGTTAAATAATTATAATCCTCCAGGATTCCACTGTAAGACTACCTGCTTTGGCAACTATTTATTTATGGATTAGTCACCAAACCTCCCCAGGGTTTCAATTTTTGTTTTTCCCTAAATGAAAAGTGAAGGTCAGAGTAGAAGACATAGAGGTCAAATATAACCCTAATAAATCCTGTTCTTTTAAAAATGAGGAGATGTGAGATGGTCATAAGG